CCTGCTGATGTAGCTAGAAAATCGATATATGGAAAGCATCTTCTCTTAAATAAAGCTTTGAAATATGCAGCTATCCAGGTGTTACCTTAAGTACTCTGTTAGAGACCTTTTGCAGCTTTTAAGTTGCAGGTTGAATACATAAAAGGTAAGGAATTACAACGTTCATGTGCTTGGCGGAACTTCAGTTTTATCCCTTATGTGAGCAGATTTCAAACTCACTCTGAGTGAGCCATTGCATATATTATTTTCACAGCATTGCATTTGTCAACAGCAACTTCAGATCCACAGTAATAGTATTATGGACTCAATTTTAAAGGAAGAAATAATTTCAGAAGGAAATTTTTGCCTTTATTTTTTCTTACAAGAGAGTATTATTTTGCTGCCACTCTTTGTGATTGCACAGTGGGGATATGCTTAATAGCTATACACTTGGAATGTGTGTGAGATATGTAGGCACTGTAGAGGTGTTTCTACTAGGAATAAGGAAATTATTCATTACATTGTGGAAAGCACAAGTAGAAGTTTATCTGGAATGCCAGTATTCAAGAGAACTGACTGAGGCAGCAACTACTGATAGAAAGGGACTCTAGGAAGATGAAAGATAATGCATGATCTTTTCTTCTCCTCACACATAACAGGATTAAGTATATTTAACTTAGCAAAACTGAGACTCAGAGCATAATTACTCTTCATAAATGTTTCATGGTGTATTATTCACAAAGGAAGGAAGACTATTTTTACTGCAGGACAGTACTATAACAAGAATAGGTGAGCATGTTGTCTTTCAGAGCTTTTAACTGTTTTCCTCATGTTCCTGGAGGCCTGTGTGATTGGTGGTGCTGCAGTGAAGCCAGTAACACAGCGCTCTGAAAGATGGCCTTTGGAAACACATGGTGGAAACCAATGATTGGCCCTGAGTTGGCCAAAATAACCGAGTTGTCAATCCAACGTGACCCTCTCCAGTCACTGTATTCTCAGTATCGTGCTGGTTTTCCCTATATCCTTATCTTTACATCTGATGCATACACTATAGGGTTGGTGCTTCTGAATTGGCTGTGAAATGAACTTGAAGAACTAAGATGATTATTGACTCAGGCTTTGTGCTTATGAAAGTGGCTAAACTACGTTGGAATCTGAGATCATCTGGTCATATGCTTTCCATGTGCGACACTCCAGTTGAGCTGATAAACCTACTAGACTCAAATTGTATAGTGGAACCAGCTCTTGGATGTGCTGTGTTTAACCTGCAAAACTAGGGCAGTACTAGATGCTTGAATAGTCACTGTAATGGAGTCATATGAGAGAGGATAACTTGACACCTTTACCTTTCAGAGCCAGATTGATTAATGTAAAAACCATGTAATTGTAATCTGTACTCAAATTTTTAAAAGTCCACTTCTAATACACAGACTTCTGTAGAGTCTTACTGGTATAATACTGCAGTAAGGATCATGTATGTTTCAGAAAAGTAGTACAGTGATTGGTGTTATGCAAAACCTACTGATATGTCACATTCTTGTGTCCCTGGTAGTGCAAGAGTTGATAGGCTTTCTTAGATGTGGAGCATTCATGAAATGCTTTGTTCTATGTGTGCTTTGTAAAAATAAGATCTGCTTGAGGGTAGGAAGTCTCTACAGAGGGATCTGGACAGGCTGGATCAATGGGCTGTGGCTAATTGTATGAAGTTCAATAAGGCAAAGTGGCAGTCCTACATTTCAGTCACAACAATGCCAAAGCACCTGGGGGTGTTGGTCCACAGCCAGCTGAACATAAGCCAGCTTGTGCCCAGGCAGCCAAGAAGGCCAGTGAAAGACATTGAGGTGCTGGAGCGTGTCTAAAGAAGGGCAACAAAGCTGGTGAAGGGTCTAGAGCACAAGTTTTACGAGAAATGGCTGAGGGAACTGAGGCTGTTTAGTCTGGAGAAGAGAAGGCTCAGGGGGGACCTTATCGCTCTCTACAACTACCTGAAAGGAGGTTGTAGCGAGGTGGGTTTTGGTCTCTTCTCCAATAACAATAACAAGCAATAGCACAAGAGGAAAAGTCCTCAAGTTGCTCTGGGGAAGGTTTAGATTGGATATTAGGAAAAATTCCTTCCGTTAAAGGGTTGTCAATGGAAGCGGTTGAGTCACCGTCCCTGAAGGTATTTTAAAGAAAAACCCAGACATGTAGATGTGGCACTCAGGGACATGGTTTAGTGGTAAACTTGGCAGTGCTAGGTTAATGGTTGGACTTGATGATCTTAAAGGTCTTTTCCAACCTAAACTATTCTATGCTTTTATGATTATGAACTTAATCATAGAAATGTACCTGTTCTTATAAAGTGTTATTATTTTGATAACGGCATTTGGTTATATGTGGACATGCTCGTGCATATTGGAAACGGGTAACATAAGTCTTGCTAATCCTTGTTCTTTGCTTCTTACAGACAATGAATGATTTTGACTATTTAAAACTACTGGGCAAAGGCACATTTGGCAAAGTTATCCTGGTCCGAGAGAAGGCTAGTGGGAAATACTATGCTATGAAGATTTTGAAAAAAGAAGTCATTATTGCAAAGGTAAGGAAGATCATCGTTTTAATGTTGGGTAATATTTTCAAATGCTGTAATCAATATCTAATATATAAGTTATATTTTATTTTGATGGTAACTGAGATTGGTAGAAATATGTGTGTATCTTCAGAAAATAAGAATACAAAAACTAGTGTGTGTACCCATTTTGCATGCCTTTTTCCAGCATCTTGCAATCTAGAGTATGCCAAAATTTTGAGAGTTCATTGGGTAGAAAGACAGTGCAACCCAAGTTGAAAACAAGAAAAAAATGCATTGTAGGGTATATTACACACTTAAAAAAAAAAAAATCTAAGTGAATGGTATTTTTTTTTTTTTTTAATAAATAAAACTAATTTAATGGACTTCTGCTCTGTTCCTGCCAAGTTAGATAAGATAGCTATGTATGGGACTAAAAATTCAATTATTTTCAGTTTTTGAGGAGCAGAAAAAGTCTGAAACTGGTTTCTGTTGAAGTGGTTTAAACTGCATTGTCCAGTCAGTTAAGCTTAATTAGCACAGTGTTACTAGCTCTTGTGCTTGGTCATAATTTTAAGAAGTTTAAACTTGAAGATTGTCTACTCCGAGCTTTGTTTGTAGCAGTTCTAAAGTTTTGAATCCCACTTCCATAGAACAAGTTGAGAGTGAGAAACCTACATGCTCTTATCAGCAGGAGGCACAATTAAAACCAATCCCAGGGTCAGTTTTCTGCCTATTTGTAGATCAGTGAGAAGATTAAGTGTTTAAGGAAAGACACCTTTCATGCTGTAGTGAAAATGGGAGCACCTCAGTCTTTTAAATTTGAATTCTTCAGAATGGGAATTTTATTTTGGAGGGAGTCCCTGTAAGTTTGTCATAATATGGTTTTATATTGATAAGAAACTGATGAAAGAATATAAAATAGACTATGCTTAGATCTTCACAGGTGAAGGTGTTGTGGTTTTTTTACCTACAGTCACCAAATACCATTTTTTCCACTCCTTCTCAAACTAAGAACATAAGCAGACTTGGGCCTGAACCAGCTTGGGCCTGAACTGTCCAGCCCAGTCAGTGTGTTAAGTGTGCCATGGGGATTTATCAATAACATTTAACTCTGGAGATCAGTGCTAAGGATACGGTCACTAGGTAGAGATCTGCAGTCCCAACCCAGGCTACAATGTGATGTCATATACACTATAGAAGGTCATACCCGTAACAGTTAACATAATGTGAAGCAGAAAAGTGATGCATTGACAGCTGTATCTAGAAGGTTGTATAGCATCTGCTCAGTTCAGACTAAATCTGTTGATCCTAAATTTTTGTGACAGATTAATATTAGTTACCAGGAAATTGCTACCAGTATCACAGACTTCTGATGCAATGCCAGAAAACTGGCCATTGCCAGCTTTTTATGCCCCGTATCTGGTGAACCACTGAGGTTGAAAAATAAATAAATAAAATTAACTTTAGGCTTGCTTATCTCCTTGCAGTTTTTTTGTTTTAACCCTAGTATGTGGTTGTAGTGTGTAGACTCTGCGTTACACTACTGTTCAGCTAAATGGCATCATAATTTCTTAACACTAACTCAGTTGTTGTTGTTTAACTTCCTATTTTGACAATTTTTAAAGTCTAATTTAAAACTCCTGACATCTGTGTTTACTTTCTAGTTTAATAATACCTTATCTGCAGAGCACTGTCTGCTAAGCATGTGTAGTACAATAATGTTATATTGGTATTATTTGTAGCAATAATAAAGTATACTCTGACTAAATATATTTGCTTCTGTAAGGCTATTGAAGTTTGAGTTGCACTAAGTTAATCTTCAATTCTGTATAATATTATACTCAGTGGTAGCTTAGCACTGCAGAAAATGTAGTGCAGGGTGAGCCCTCTTCCTGCCATCCTCTCCCCCTTGCCCTTGCATCACCCCGTTCTCTGCAAACCTGGTGGTGTGAGGGGCCTTAGCCCTGCCCTTGAGGGCTCCCTGTTACCCCTCCAGGCTGCTTCTCACCCCCCCATGTGTCCCCTGCCTGGCAGCCACCCAGGGGGGATAGTGAGAGGGCCTTTTCCTCAAAATCTGGCTGGACATGGGGTGAGGTTGTATGGACATCTTCCAGCCTCCCATGGAACCAAACTTAAATGTACTTTAAAATCTTCTCTCAGAAAACATGAATTATTTTTCATGTTTCTTTCAGGTTCATTCATTTTCCAAAACTGTACTGAAGGTTTCTCCTTTTGAAAGCATTGACCTTTTCCTCCTAATTAATTCAATGATGATTTTATATGTTAATTCAGACTTATTTCTTCTACTCTTTATTTCTCAGGATGAAGTAGCTCATACGCTTACAGAAAGCAGAGTATTGAAAAATACCAGACACCCTTTTTTAACAGTAAGTATTAGGAGTTAGTCTTAAGTACATTAGCAGGTGATTTTCAACATGATGTGTATTTCATTATGAACTTAATTTACAAACAAATTTTGAAGTCTTTCTTGTGATTATTTGTAAACAAGTAGTGGCTATCTAGTGCTTCTGATATCCTTTAGCAGAATATGTATTTAAGAGTTCAGAAAGTAAGTTTGTAACAATTTTGTGAAGCTTATTTGCACTCCAATTTAATTGTAGAATGCAACTGTTGTTCATATACAAAAATCATAAAAATTGAACATTTTCGTAATCGAAGTTATTTATTTCACATAATATAAAGTAATTTTTATCAAAAAAACTTAATTGAGTTCAATAAAATTATAACTATTTGTTCAACGTAAGTAGCCCATGGAGCAACGAAGCGCAAACCCCACTACCTCAATGTCTTTGTCTTCATATGGTTTATACTTAATAGAAGGTATTGAACCTACTGAAAATAAGATGAAAATTTTGAGATTCATGATAAATCATGAATGCTTCATCCCTGCTGGCATTTAAGGCCAGGTTGGACAGAGCCTTGAGCAACATGGTTTTAGTGCAACGTGTCCCTGCCCACGGCAGGGTGGTTGGAACTAGATGATCTTAAGGTCTGTTCCAGGGATCGAAGGATTCCGGGTGGAGAAGGAACGTAAGCCACACACAGCCCCAAACTGCTAGAAAGTTTATTACAAGAACTAGATGTAAAATCCAGAGATATCCCAAGCCAGAAAGAGAGATAACTAAAGGCTACCAAAGAATAGATTAGACACAGATTCTTATCGACCCAGACACTTGTTCAATGACCAGGAGGCCAGCTCTGAGGTGCATTGTGTAGAAACGGGGTGGCAGGCACATACTTTCGCGGGTGTCCCCGCGGAGGTAAGGTCTGCCATAAAAGGTAGTTGGATCCACCTCCTTCTCGATCTCTCTCAAATCCTGGGCCTTTTATATGCCAAAAAGTGCCAACTCATCCTGACGCATGGGGCCAGCCTGCGTCAGGAGGAGTGGCCTTCTTGGCTCCTTTTCCCGCGCACATTCATCCTGATGCAGGGGGCCAGCCCGCGCCAGGAGGAGTGGCTCTGCTGGCTCCCCACTGTGCACAGTCACTCTAGATAATTGGGGTGGTCCACCACGGACCAATTCCAGTGTTATACCTGTCTAATACAAATACATACATGCTTTTTTTATCTTGATCAGGATGGTCCACCATGGACCAATTTTTACAGTGTTAGACCCATCTAACACAAGGTCCTTTCCAACCCTAACTATTCGATGATTCTATGATTAATAGCTTTAATTTTACAACTGACTTATGTAGAAGTAATTCTGATTCATCTGATTTGAGAATATATTAGAAAATCTTTTCATTGATTTCAAAAGATGATTAACATGTTGTATTTTAAGGTAGGGAAAAATGATTTTCTTTTTTATATTAAAATATCAAAGTATGACATGGAAGCTTTCCTATGTAGAAAATCATAAACTTTTTAGAAAGCAGAGGATTACATTCTCATTGCTTGGCCAAAATATTCTTGGAAATTCAGTCAAGAGAAATGAGATCCCCGAAAGTTATTTAATTTAGAGTGTGAAGGTAAGCAGGAGTAGGCCTAATTGCAATCAAATTGTGCAACAGTGTTGCTGCAGTTTTACCTTTAAATGTCTCCGATATTCTTAAGCAAATATTTTAGGACACATGCAGTATTTAAGTCAGATGAGTCTCCTAATGATTTTGTTATGTGTAGTTCTACTGTATTTTGTTTCTTTTGGACTGCATCTGTAGATTTGCTTTGGTATCATTTTTCCAAGCAAAATGAAATCAATGTTGATAAGTCAAAAATTTTAATTGAGATAATAACATTTGTTATCATTTTTAAATGATATGTAAATAAATATATTCATTTGTCACTCTGTTTTTAACATTGTATGGTATATGAAACTAGAGACTCCTTTTGGATATGAAAGCAGGCTGGAGGTTAAGATCACTTTTAGGATTTGATATGGGAGAAATGAAAAAGAATATGGTAATCTCCCTCTTCATGGGCATCGTGGAAGCAGACATCATAAAATGAGTGAGAATAGCTGGTATTGTATATGGCAGTAAGAAAGCAGTATAGAATTGTGAATTTTAGTAATTCTGTAGTATTTTATTACAACAAGCATGACGTTTTCATATCAGTGGCCATGTGGCAGAGACCAAGGTTTTTGTTATTTCATCACAAGCTCCAGATAGTAATTTACACTTTTGATTACTCTGAAAGTTCTCACCAAATCAGAATTGTCTGCTTAAGAGGATAAAATTAAATTTTGTTACAGTTTAAGCGCAAGAAACTGGGTTAATATAAGAAGATAATTGTTTGGTTTTGCTGTTTTCTTTGCAAGTCCTTGAAATATTCCTTCCAGACAAAGGATCGTTTGTGTTTTGTGATGGAGTATGTTAACGGAGGAGAGGTAAGTAGAAAAAAGATGTTCTGCACTTGTAATAGTAATGCTGTCACGGGGTTACGCTTTAAAAGATAAAATTTTTCTTGCCTATTTTGCTTTCTAATGTCTTTGAAAGTTGTCTTTTTTCTTATTTTTTAAAACTTCTTTTAAAAAAGGTAGGTGTGTTTTACAACTATGCTGTCAAAAGTAGTTCTTATTCTGGAAAAATTAGACTTGTGAAAGATAATTTCATGATAGGGAAATAATTACAAATATAATACTGTTTTTTCTTCAAGCTTATTACAGCATTTTCTGGCATGAAATGGTCATAATCTAGTGCAAAAAAAGCAAAAATAATGTTGACTAATCTTACTTTGGTCCTCGTGAAATATGTGCTTTCTTCTTTGCTGTAGCCATTGCAAATATGTATGATAAAAGTGTTCATATTTTTCATTATTTCTTCCTCTTCACTTGCTGTGTACTTTGGAAATTTGAAGTTAAGTGCTGAACTTTAATTAGTGTCATTAGCCTTTAAGCCATTGCTGTCCTCCAGCTGTTTCCTGAGGAATGTAATATCAAAAACTATACCCATCAAGTGGATTTAAAGAGAATTGCGATCTAAGAAGAAAGCTTTTATCTACCTTTTAAGTGCTATTTGATATTCAGACTGTATCGGATTACAGCATGAACTAGGGTTTTTTCCTTATTTTGTCTACTATATGCTGCATAATAACACTAAAGTACTAAGTGTTTCCACTAGCTTTTTTTATTAGAAAACTGTTTCTTCATTCAAAAATTGCTGCAGCATGATACCATGTTTTTCATTATCCTTTTGCTGTGTTCTCCTACAATAGAACTGTCTTCAGCTATAACCCTAATGCCTGAGCACCCCCAGAGTGCCTGTCTTGCATTCGTTGCTTTGGTGATCTGGGACCAGTCTGAAGCCCATTTACATCCTAACTTGTCCACGGCCTTCTACCAGCCACGGCTGAAGATGGTGCTATAGGGTTCTTGTATGGGAGGATGACTTTTTGACTCACTGTGTATAAACCCGGTTCTGGATATCACAGGCATTTAACCATTTTGACTAGTTGGACTAGACACAAAAAGCTTCCTCAGCAGTAACGAGATAACAGCCTTCTCTTGGACACTCAGCTGGCTTATTTAACATCATGTCAGTGATATGAAATCAGTGCTATCTACAGTGAGTTTTAAAAGTGGCACCTTATGAACTAGCTAATTTTTTTTAAGTTTTGTCTACGTAAGATCTTACTGTATTTATGTAATCTCAGGGGATGTACTTTGAGAGTGTTTTTAAAACCAGCCTATCATTTAGATAATTTACCTTTTTTCAAGATACTTTTCTGCCCTATTTGAATGCAGAGCAGAGCCCACAGAGAATGTTTTCAACTCCTTATGATTGAATACTCTGACGCTATGTTTTGATCAAGTGTGTATCTTGCATTTCTCTGCATTGTGTAGTGCGCCTTCATGGTAACTGTTGCAGACATCTTGTGTCATGGGTCTCTTGCTGGCAGCCTGCTTTTGGGTTTTGGGATTTGAATAATTGCGATGTACTTTGCCAAGGGTGTGTCACTTTTTTTCAGGTGTGATGCTTTTGTTTGTCAGAGTTGCTCATCTTCTTTGTTAATGGTTCCCTAATTCAGTGAATCTAACTGTAAATTTTTGCCACAGTGGAAAATAATGACCATTCCCTAACTAAGTAGGCAGTTTTCTTTGAAGAAACTCTCTTGATTCACTTATGTGCTTCTTTTTGGCTAGAAATATGGAATAGTAAGTTGGACAGACTGTTCTTTTTAATAGGAAAATCTTTAATCTTACAAAATTTTTCTGTGAATTTCAGACTTTAGTCACTCTCTGCTAGAAAATACAAAGGACTTTATATTTGTAAAAACAGCCTGGTTATTTACTTGAAACTACTGAATAGGAGTTGCATGAAGTTTAGCCAGCATTTTAGCCATTCCTAAGCATATCTTCTATATGGTACACAGACTTTTTTCTTCTGCTGCTTCCCTCTACCGTTCTCTCTGTTCCAAGAAAGTTTCATTTCCTTACAATGGTTTCTCACTGTTGAAGGTGTTGAAAACTCATCGTTTAATTATATCTTTCTAGTGGAAAATTGACTGTAGCAGTACAGTGTTGCTCTCTCCAGACCTGTACTACCTGCAGTGTGTTTCTGTTTAAAATTCCTTTAGATTAAAGATTTCTTTTTAAACAATTGTGCCTGAGTCAATTGCTTGGGAATTTTCATGTATTATGTCTTTCAGGAGCCCATTGCCTGAACAATCTTCCGAATGAAGGAGTCGTTGAACTTTATGTCTGTATTCTTGACTCTCACCCAGGTGAAAGCAAGAAAATGCCACAATTTAGGCTTCTGCCCTACTACACTAATAAAAAGTGTACTTGGTACTAGGAGTCTTCAGTTCCTTTTCCTATGATTAGGAAGGAAGACAGTTGACGAAGGGGTCACTGAATTTCATTCCGGAGGAGAAGATATTATGTTAAAATAATTCTAAACAAGAATCATCTATATCTGTTAAGTCCAGATCCATGTTGAATTTAATGTCCCACCAGAATAGTAGCAATTTATCTTTGCCTTACCTCCAGATTAGGTAGGTAATCTGAAGGTAAGGCAAAGATAAGTAAGGTAACTTCAGATTAGTTAGGCTCCGTTAGTAAGGGAACATGTTATAATGAAAGTGTAACTGTATGAGTTTACTGGTCTATATGTGTGCTTTTTTACAACGTACAAAGTATTACCATGTCAAATTATCTTTTGATTTGCTTTAAAAAGAAAAAATAATCAAAAAGCATATTCTGTAGCTAAATATATTAAAGCAAAACATTAGAGGATATTTCCCAACCGCATTATTCAGCTGGAAATATTAAATATGTTTTCTTTATACTGACAAGTTTTACAGTTAATTTTCTGCTGTTTAAGGGCCCAATCATGGAATCTTTACTGTGGACTGAAAACTTTCACTGCTTCTAGTGTTGCTGTTTGGCTCTGTGGATGAAATGCTTAGCAGTGTTTATTGATCATAAACTATGTTGCAGTATGGAGCTGAAGGATACTTCTAACATTGTGGTTACTTATCAATGCCATTGTTACAGTGAAGGAATTCCATTAAAGTAGCGTTAAGACATTGAAATTTGATTTTAGAAGAAAAGTACTCATCTGGCTTAGTTGAGATGACCAAATTCTATTTTCAAGACTTTGAAATGGCATATTTTATGAGTGTGTGGTAAAAAGTGCATGCAGTATTACGTGGTAAACTGTGTTCTTTACTTTGGTCCAAAATACAGACTATTCGTGTAAATATTTTTAAATAAGTAAAACTATCAATGCTTACAGATGAACACAGGCCTGCTTTAAATAAAAGAAACCCCATTCAGTTTTATACATTTTTTGCTGTCTTTGTCCTATCAATATTTGGGGGGGGGGGGGAAGTATAAGGCTCTATTGATGGTTTTCCTGATTTGCCTCCTCTTCCTTTTGTAACCCCTATAATTTTGAGTACTATGTGATTGCAGTATGTTAGTAGTATATTATAGTGTTCCCCCAACTTCCAGGCCACAGAATGGTATAAACTGTGCTACAAAAAATTACATTCTAAAAATGGCTCTTTATTGTTGGAATACTTTTGGACTGTTTTTTCCCCACTTTTTATTTCCAGTATTTTGCTTTAAAGGTTGAAAAGCTTTAGGAATGTAATGTATTACTTACATTTCTCTGCAGAGTACACTGATTCAGCGGACTAATAAGTTGATTAACTTCCTTGCTTTGCTTTTTCAGGATAATTCCAAATTCCATACTTTATAACAAACTTAGTTGGTAATTATCTGTATAATAAATGAGACTCTAAAATTTCTTCTGATCATTTTTGCACTCCAGAATTCTGAATCTCTGCTCTGCTTGGCATTTTTTATTTTCCATGGTTCTTACTTCAGTTCATTAGGCAAGAGGGAACTAAATGGTTTGTTGTAATTGAACAAGTGCTATTACTGTCTAGAAAAAAGACAGAGAATTTACAACCTAACTAATGAAAAATAGCTGAGTTTTGTTGTAAGCTTTATAATTTTTATCTTGCTTGTGTCCTCTTTTGTTTTCCTAAACACTTAAGTAAATGAGTGTTTCGTAGCATAAAGTTATGATAGTCCAAGATATGTGTACTGTATTTATTTCTTTCAAGGCTGCTACGGAAAATACTTTGCAAAAGAGTCAAATCAACAGACAAATATAAAATGTGTTTAACTGCAGAGCTGAGCAAACCTAATACAGCAAGAGCCAGTCATACAAGTTTTAACATGCTAAATAGGTCACTAGCATTGTGGAAGTTTAACGTATCAATTGATACAAGCTTGTGTTTATCTGATGTGCTTGAATGTGCAGTTGGATATACTTTTATGTTTGATCTTTGTTTTTATTTGTTCAGATCTTTCCATTAAGACTTTTTATTAGGAAAAAACCCCATGGCAACATTGTTGTTCAGCTTTTAAATAAAAGCATACCAGGAAATTTATAGCTCCAGTTCTCACTGTAACTATAGCACCCTCATGTATGCCATCAAAAATGTTATGTGCAAAATGACTTTCTTTGTGCCAAACCTATTTCTATTGCAGTTCCAGTGACTTTATAGCACATATATAATAACTGTAAATCAATAAATAGTGCAAATGTTGGTAGCTTTTTTCATATCCTTCCATCAGATTCCTTTTTTTCCTTCTCTGACTTAATAAATCTAATCCTTGTTCTGACAATTGTAAATAAAGCCTGGTGGCATAATTATTCCAAAATAGTGAACCAACTAAATAATTAGCTGAAAATAATGCTGTCATCTCACTGAATTAGATTTTTCTATTGTAATTTTAAAATTTGCTTTAGTATCTTTAGCATATATCTGAGTGTATGAATTAACTTTTTACATGCATTTTTACATCTAAATATAAATTCTTTGTTCAAAACTAGTATATATAGTACTGTTACTATAATAATATGAAAAATGTTTCTGAAGAGTGCCTGTAGTGTCATATGTAATGTTAAAATAACCTGTCTTGGGAACTCACAGTCTCTTGCAGAGAATTGTTGCTAGTTGTTTCTAACTGGTCATTTTACTTTGAAGTTAGTATTTAGAATTAATATCAAGAATATTTTGTTGGAAATAAACACTAAAGAAAATTTCGTTATGTTAACTTGTCAGTTTATCAACTATCAGATTCAAATTGGAACACTTTTTTTTTTTAAATGAAAAATAATACATTTGTTGGTGACAAGTGTCCTGAGGTTTTAGAATTTTCTGAGACTTTGCTGCTTACTTACTGGATTTTTCTCCTCCATACAGAAAATTGCAATAGTCCTTTTGCATAGATATGAATATAGGGCTAACTGGAGGTTATAGTATAAATTTTTGGAAAGTGTTTGCTATTTGTACACATTAAAAAGTGATCTTAAAGTGTGCCTTTATTTTGGATTACTTTGAGTCTGTCCAAACAAACAAAACTCTTAAAAATGATTAATATTAGCTCATTTTTTATAAAAGAGACCACTAAATGGTCATAAATGCATAAATTACGTAAATTTTATATTTTGCTTTACTTGGATGAAGATCTGCTTAGTGGTGTTTGTTTCCTACTGAAATCTTGCAGAAATGTGTAGAAAAGACCCCCAAAATTGAGAGAATTATTTATTCTTTTCTCAAATTTATGATATGTGAGGTGCTTCATGAAGGCAGACTTAGTCTGTACTGGTCTTGTGTTTGCACTGGCAGTTACGCAGCCCTCAGTATACAGAGCAGGTTACTACGGGGAGGGCTGATGTTGCCACCAGGGACCAGTGCTTAAAACATGGAAATGAGCAGCAAGGAGCTACTGAAATACCTACAAAATAATGATCCTCCTTGTCATGCAGGTATTCCATTTTTATACAGGGTATCTAGAGAATTGAAAAAGAAATTGAAAGGGGAATTCTGGTACAAAACCCAGAAATCAAATACTCTCTTTGAACCATACTGTAGTTTCTGTTTTCTGTGAAGTCTCTGCTTATACAAATGTATGCTGCCAAAAGGCTCAGTTTAGTGGGAAGTTTGTTTAAGTTCAGAAGAAAGGAATACACATTTTTTGAAATGAAATTGTCAGGAAAGAAGTTGACTTCTGGTTGTTTATAGGATTGGCTTTTTAATTACACTTTGAAAAATCCAACCTCTGAAAATAGCTGCAGAAATTCTCACATTGTTCTGTGCTGTGTCAGCAATGTAGGTTTCCTACTTGTATAAAGTAGGATGTGGTCATGACAAATGAAGCACATTATTGTTATTTTGGTTGATATGGATTTCCTTGTCTGTGTTAATTTATAGATGATCACATTTGTGTATTTCTGTTTTGTTGATTGTTAGCTGTTGTGGTAAAACCAAAACCATTGTAACTTGAACGAGTAAAGCACGCAATCCATTTGGTCCTCAGCAGAATACAGAGACATACTCAGTAATCTTTGCTTGAGGACTTTCTCAAGTTTTCTTAACACGGTAAATAAAACTAGCCATTTTAGAGAGCGTTTGAATACCCAAAATCTGCTTTTTTAGGTGTTGTTCAAGGTTCTGAGGGTGATGTTTTATACAGTAAGATGCTGACAGCCTTACAGAACTTGACCTTACACTTTTTCACTGCAGCTGAATATACTGGCAACATTTAATGACTAATATTTTACACTGAAAGACTTTAGTTGGAAAAAGTGTCTGCAAAGGTCTGTTACTTATAAAGTACTAAA